TGTCCAGTGTGTCTGGTGCGTGCAGACATGGGGTCGTTGCGCCTGCGATGGCCTAGCGTCTTTCGTCCGGCCCTCGATGTCTCTCCTCTTCCTCCTCCTCCTCCTCATTCTTTTCCTTTTCCTTGATCTGTGATCCCATCGATCTTAGATCGTCAATCCTCAATGATGCCGCCCAGATGACGGGCGTCCACGGCTCTTTTACGCGCTCGCGAGGGGCCTCACGCTTCTCCGACCAGCACCCTCCCTGGGAGGCGGCTTGACGATACTGGGGGGCCGTTTTGGAGACCTCCATGGGGGTTCGCCTCTTGGGGGCCTCTCGGGGCCCTCCTGGGCTGTCTGGGGCGTCTCTTGGGCCGTGCTGGCGCCATCTTGGGCTGTGTGGGGCTCCTGGGCCGTCCTGGGGCCGTTTTGCGCCGCTTGGGCTTCTCTTGGGCTCCTCTTGGGCTGTCTTGGGCAGTCCCGGGACGGTCTGGGGCTGTCTTCGAGGCTTCTTGACCTGCTTCGGGTCGATCTTCATGGCCTCCGAGGCAGCGTGCTGAAGATGTCCGCTTTCCTTTAGGGGTGCGGTATTGTTTACTCGTTTCGGCCCTTGCGGGGAGTCCTGTTGGGACCATCTCGGGTCGTCTAGGGTAACGATGTTCCAGCCTACTTTAGGCTCGACCACCGGAAAGAAGTTCGAGCACCAAGAATGCACCGAAATTGGAATGCTTTCACGTGCCGGGCTCTGGGAGGCACTCGTCCGACACCGTTCGACATTGTTTCGACACTCTTCCGTGTGCTCGAAATTATTCCTGGGATGTGGTCCTTAAGCACGATGGGAGCAACATAAGTCTAGGGGGCTTGTCGGGGCCCTCCTGGGCGTACAGGGGCCATCCTGGGTTGCGAGGGGGCCCTCGCTGGGCCGTCGTGGGCCATCTTGGGCTGTAGTGGGCCCCTCGCGAGGTCCGCTTGGGCTGTCTTGGTGTCCACTGGGCTGGCCCAGGGCCGCGTCGAGCCGTCGTGGGGGCCGTCGATCTTCAGGGCCGTCGATCTTCAGGGCCTCTCAAACAGGTTGCCACCAATGTCAGTGCCCTCCTCTTCTCCTCCTCCTCTTCCTCCTCCTCCTCCTCCGCATGGGAATGAGGCAATTTTGGCTTTTGGGGGCCCTCGTGGGGGTCCTCTGGGAGCCGTGTGGGAGCTTCCAGCGGGCCTCTCGGTCCCTCCTGCCGTCTGCGGCGCCTTGTGGGCCGTCATGGGGCCAATCTTGGGTCGAGTGGGGCCTCCGTTGGGCCATCATGGGGCCATCTTGGGCCCCATCTCGGGTTCCTCTTGGGCCTCCTTGGGCGTCTCGTGGGCCGTCCTCGGGCCGACGAGAGCCGTCGCGGGGCCTGTTGGAGGCATCCTGGCCCGTCTTGGGGTCGATCGTCCAGGCCTCTTGGGGCAGTGGGCCAAGCCTGTAAGTTTGCCGTTCTGGGCATGGGGCAGCGTGTTTGCTCGTCGGGGCCCCCGTGGGGAGCTATCTCAAGGCGGCCTGGGTGCCTCTGGGATCGTCCAGGACACGCCGGGAGCCATTCGGAAGCCATGTGGGCTGTCCAGGGGGCAGCTTTGGAGTGGTCGAGGCCGCCAACCCCTTGGGCCACTCCACCACCTCAGTGGGCCCTCGAAACGGCAGGGCTGTTTTTTAACCGGTTCCGTTTCGCTGTTTTTGTTGCCGGTTCCAGCGCAGTTGTTTTACCGGTTCCGTCGCCGTTTTTGTTACGGGTTTCCGCTCCTGTTCCAATCCTGGAGCCGTCTTTGTTGCCGTTTCCAGTCGCCGTTTTTGTTGCCGCTTTCATTTTCAAGGGACGTTGTTTTCGGAAACGGTGAAGAAACGGCCCTGCCGTTTCGGGGGCCCATTAAGTTTAAGTCGGGTTTGTCCCCCATACAGGGGGATGTTCGACGAAATATTCAAAATAAACAAACAATACACCAAAAAGGTAAAAAAAAAAAAAAATAAAAAAAAAATAGGGGATATATATATATATATATATATATATATATATAATATATATATATATATATATATATATATATATAGAGTATTTTTAGTTTTTCGTCGAAAATCCCCTTGTAGGGGGACAGGCCCGACTTAACACAAAGTCCACCACCCCCCACCCCTCTCCAGACTGGCTCGGAAGCCCGGGCTCGGGGAGGGGCAGCAGTCTCACACGACGCAGGCGCGAGTCGGGCGTGTCCCTCTACAGGAAGAAGATCAAACAAAGTGATTGAAACAACTAGCCCGGGGACGATGTTTGGCTATTGTTTGAAGACTCGTTGTTGCTTGTTTGACTCGTTCGAGTTGTTCTTCCAGGATGCGCCTGCATGGGGAAACATGCCAGCCCTACACGTGGACCCCAAGGGGTCGGCGGACTTCCACCCGCCTCGCGCCTTCTCCCTCCGCCTCCTCCTCCCCCGTCCCCCTCTGAAGGTGCCTCGGCCTCCGAAGGCCTCGGTGCGCCCGCAGCCTCGGGAGCAACACCTCGTCGGAGGTCGGGCCCGCCGCGGCCGCGAGGCGTTTCTGGCCTGTCCACGCCACTCAGGAGGGAACAAAAACGCACAGACACACTGAATCGTCGATCCCGGAAAATTATACGTCGCAGCACTATGCTGCGTGCGCTCCCGCACGGACGTTGGGCACGACAAACACGTGCAGCTGGCTGGCGCCAACCTGAGAGAGAGAGCCTCAGGACGCCCAGCCAGCGGAGCGCAACCCAGGGAGGGCGGGCGGGGAAAGAAAACACCCACGCCACGAGGCCCACCCCGCGGTGCCAGCAGACACCCACGGGCAGGACGAGGACGTCCCAGGGAGACGACGGACAGACAGACCGACAGACAGACGACAGACACACAGACACACAGACGGGACGGACGGACAGACAGACCCACACCCGCCGTCCACAGGACACGGCGCGTTAGCTGACCCACCAGGGCGGGTGAAGTCCGCCACCCCCAGTTGGAGGTATCCAAGTTTCGTGCGTTCTGCTGGGAGCTCGAGGCCATTAGGCTAGGAGGAGTGTGGCACCGCTAGCTCCTGAAATTTTCCTGCCCTCCAAACCGCTGCGCGATTTGAGGGCTAAGAAAATTATACGTCGCAGCACTATGCTGCGTGCGCTCCCGCACGGACGTTGGGCACGACAAACACGTGCAGCTGGCTGGCGCCAACCTGAGAGAGAGAGCCTCAGGACGCCCAATGCACGCAGGTGGGGCCGGGCAGCTGCGCGAAGCGAAATGCTTTTGCAACAGCAGGAACACCCAATGCACGCAAGAGTTTTTCACTCGCCTGCCCCGGACGACTCTGAGTGCTCAACCAGAAACTCGGCCTCAGCTACCGAGCCCCGCGCTTTGGCGGAAGTATACGCAAACGCAGTAAGCCCTCGCCAACCGCCTGAGTAGAACAGTGCTGTTGGACCGTTAGCACGAAGGCACTCCGTGGCCCAACCTCTACGAAAGGCATGCGTGCCCCACGCCACCGCATCAGCGAAGCCGCAGCCTTGAGCAGCGAGCTTAAGCACAGCAAGGCTCATCGCGTATGTCATGCCTGGGAAAATGACATTATTCCCAGCCTCAGCCTGCGGCGCCGTGTCTGTAGACGCAGAAGCCGCGGCACCACTCGCGAGCTTGGCCCGGAGCTTGTACCGGGCGACCACCCGGCATACACCACACAGTGCTTTCCCTTGGAGACCACAAATGCACCTGCGAGTGACAACAACAGGTTCAGAATAGCACTTTCTATACATGAATGTGATGTCCACGACATTCCGCCCTTCCACAGCCGCACTGATCGACACGGGAGCTGTGTCGGAGCCCAGAGCCACGCGGTGCCAGCAGACACCCACGGGCAGGACGAGGACGTCCCAGGGAGACGACGGACAGACAGACCGACAGACAGACGACAGACACACAGACACACAGACGGGACGGACGGACAGACAGACCCACACCCGCCGTCCACAGGACACGGCGCGTTAGCTGACCCACCAGGGCGGGTGAAGTCCGCCACCCCCAGTTGGAGGTATCCAAGTTTCGTGCGTTCTGCTGGGAGCTCGAGGCCATAAGGCTAGGAGGAGTGTGGCACCGCTAGCTCCTGAAATTTTCCTGCCCTCCAAACCGCTGCGCGATTTGAGGGCTAAGAAAATGCGCGAATCTGGGAAGTGGGGGGGAAGACAGAAACCCAGAACATATGTGAAAATATGGGGGATCCTGTCACTTGTATGCATTTATTTGTGTGTCCCAGGGCCCCTTCATCCACTGCGGTCCTGCTTCCTCCAGGAGGGAAAACAACACACAGACGCGATTCATCGTCGATCCCCAGGAAACTGTAGGTGTGGGGAAGCATTGGGAATCCTGGGATTTGTGTGCATTTACTTGGAATTAGCTTCGCGGCGGCTGCCCTGGGCAGCCGTTGTTCCGCGCGCTCGCCGGGCGCGCTTTTTGTCCTCCTCGTTCTTCCTCCCCTCCGCCGCCTCCTTTTCCGGCTTTGCCGCGTCTGCTCGTCACCCGTTCTTGCCGCTGGGCCCCCATTGGATTGTGAAAAATCAAGTGTGCATTTAGTTGTGGGTGCTTGGGCCCCTTCATTCCTCCCATTGGCCTGGAGACCTTCACTCTAGACGCCCGACATGGGCACGGAAAGACTGGGTACTATGCCCAACAGCAGTTCCTGTTCATTTTGAACAAGACTCGCTGTCGGTGTCGCCGCGGCTTGTGTCCATTCGAGACAGGAGGCCGCCTGCCCAGCAGCGGCCGCTGTTGGTTTGGGACAGCACTGGCTGTTGGGCATTGTGCCCATTCTTCCCGTACCCTTGGGGTGCCCACACTTGCTGCAGGGACAACGCTTGCCGAGGGACACTGCTGCTGGGACAACACTTGCAGCTGGGCACTGTTCGGGCGTTTAAAGTCACGGCATGTCGCCGCCGCCCCCCCGCCAGACATTACCAGTAGGCGACCCACCCGGCGCCGCGACGCGCGCTCGCGCGCGCGCGCAGGGCGTGCTGAGGATCGCGCGTGCGGTGCAGGAGACCAGCCGCCCCCAGCGCTCGGGGGGGGCCCGCGCGGGGGCGGTCTCGGCGGGGGGCGCTCTTTCGCCTCTCGTCCTGGGGCGAGGGGGGAAGGCTGATCGGCGGCGACGAGAGTCGGGCCGGACGAAAGGGGGGCATTGGGCAAGGGGGGAACACGACATCTGCTGCATACAGCTGGTTTCGGCCTCACCTACGTTCCCAGTCCTCGATACATGGGAGCCTCCCGGCGCCGGGGGGCGCCGGGAAAGTCAGCTACGTGAGCTGATTCTCAACCCCACCCTTTGCTATCCCCCCCTGTCGCCCGACCCGATCTTCCTGGGGCGAGAGGGGAAGGCTGATCGGCGGCGACGAGAAGGGCGAATGGCCAGGGACGGGCATTACACACGCATTCGCCCGGGGGCCTCGTCGAAGACACAGCTCATGGGCGCCCCTGGATACATGTGTTGCTCTCCCCTGGGCTGTTCGCCCCCATCGTCGCCCTCGAGAGGAGAGGGATGCGGGAGGGAGAGGGAGGAGAAGGAGGAGGAGGAGGAGGAGGAGGAGGAGGAGGAAGAAAGCGAGGAGGAGGAGGAGGTGGGAAAGTGGGAGGGGGAGGAGTAGGAGGAGGAGTAAGAGAATGGGGGGCGGGGAGGGAGGGGAAGGAGGCAAGAGGGAAGGAGGGAGGATCATGGGGGGAGGAACAAGCAGAGAGAGGGTCGGTGATCTCCCAACTTCCCAGCCTGGTCGTGGGAGGCGGTGATTTGGGCCTTCGCAGGGGCATCAGTCTTATCGTAAATGTCGTCCTCTCCATCTTCTGTCCCGTTGTCGTCCCGCCAGGTACTCCGAGTCAAACGGTGCTTTTCATAGCCCCGAAATCGCGCAGCGGTTTTGGGGGCAGGAAAATCTCCCAAGGTGACCGGTGCCAAATGGGTGCCTTTTCTTAGCCCTCAAATCGCGAAGCGATTTGGGGGGCAGGAAAATATGACGACGGAACGTGTCATCATCCACTCCTCTCCTCTTGGCCTCTGGGGGCTTCTGGGGTTTGCGTTCGTGGCACTGGACCAACTAGTGACAGGCAGGCTTGTCTCACATGCCTGGTGCTCTCCTGAGGGAGCAGGCGTATCTGCCTTGCGTCGTGCTCCTGGGCAGCTATCCCTGCCTCACACGCTCGGCGGCTCCACGGGAGCTGGCGGGAACTGTGATTGGGTGTCGGCTCCTCGTGGGCACGTGAGGCGCGTCGAAGGCCTCTGGTGATGGGTGCTCGTGGGTCTCTCGTCGCTGGTGCTATGCTGTTCAAGGTTGAAGGCTTGCTCGTGGGCCTTTCGTCGCCGGTGCTACGCTGTTCAAGGTTGAAGGCCAACGGCACCTGCAGGTAATTGTTTATTCCTGGTGCCGCTGGGCGCCATCCTCCACCGCCGAGTGCTGCAGTTTCGGCCGCCTGTGCCGCACCGCTGAGTGCATTCTGGGTCCTGGGCGCCATACTCGCACCGCTGGGTGCATTTTGGTGCTGCTGTGCGGCATGCTCGCACTGCTGAGTGCATTTCTGGTGCCGCTGAGCGCCGTTCCGGCACCGCTGAGTGCATTTTGGTGCCGCTGAGCGCCATACCCGCACCGCTGAGTGCATTTCTGGTGCCGCTGAGCGCCATACCCGCACCGCTGAGTGCATTCTGGGTCCTGGGCGCCATACTCGCAGAGCGCCGTTCCCGCACCACGCCGTGAGAGTCACTCTCTTGCTGGCCCTCGCCGCCTGTGGTGGAACGTGGTGCGTGTTTGCAGCCGTGAGGGCCGTTCTCTCTCAGTCCGCGCCGCCTGCCATTCCCAGTGTGCGCCGGCTGTGCGCGACTGTGCACTCGTGGCGTCCGCTGGCCCATATTGCAATTCTGTGTTCCCTTTCTGCGTTTCGGTGCCCAGGCGCACCCAGGTTCGCAATCTAAGCGCGACTTGGCGCTCCTGGGCGTCCGCGCGCCCACAATTGCATTATGTGCTCCTTTCTCCGTTTTGTTGCCACGTCGCACCCGGATTCGCAATCTGAGCGCGACTCAGCGCTCCTGGGCGTCCCGCGCCCAGAATTGCTTACTGATCTCCGTTCTGCGTCCTGGTGCCTAGGTGCGCCAGGATTCCCGATCTGTGGGCATCCAGGTGCGAATGGTGTCCGCGCGCCCTGAATTGCATTCTGAACTCATTTTCGCGTTCTGGTGCCCAGGCGCACCCAGATTCGCAATCTGAGCGTGAATTTGCGCTCCTGGGCGTCGGAACGCCCCAGAATCGCATTCTGAGCGCCTCCTATCTGCGTTCAATTCCAACCTGAGTGGTTCTGAGCGTGCACACGCCCAGAATTGCATTCTGTGCTCCCTTCTGCGTTCTGGTGCCCAGGCGCACCCAGATTCGCAATCTGAGCGCGACTTAGCGCTCTTGGGCGGTCACGCGCCCCAGTATTGCATTATGTGCGCCTCTCTGCGTTCTGGTCCCCAGGCGCAGCCAGGTTCGCAATCTGAGCGCAACTTCGCGCTCCTGGGCGTCCGCGCGCCCAGAATTGCTTTCTGTGCTCCTTTCTGCGTTCTGGTGCCCAGGGGCACCCAGATTCGCAATCTGAGCGCGACTTGGCGCTCCTGTGCGTTCACGCGCCCAGAATTGCATTCTGTGCGCCTCTCTGCGTTCTGCTCCCCAGGCGCAGCCAGGTTCGCAATCTGAGCGCAACTTCGCGCTCCTGGGCGTCCGCACGCCCAGAATTGCTTTCTGTGCTCCCCTCTGCGTTCTGGTGCCCCGGCGCACCCAGATTCGCAATCTGAGCGCCTCTGGGCGTCCGCATGCCCAGAATTGCATTCTGTGCTCGTTTTCTGCAATTTGGTGCCAGGCGCACCCAGATTCGCGATCTGAGCGCAAATTAGCGCTCCTGGGCGTCCGCGCGCCCAGAATTGCATTCTGAGCACCTTTTTCTGCGTTCTGATGCCAGGGGCGCGCCCAGATTCGCAAATTGAGCGCGACTCAGCGCTCCGGCGCGGCGGCCGCGTGTCTATTTAGTACGGGATGTGCGCAAGCCCCCGTGCATCTGCCATCATCGCCGTGAAAAAGCGGCGCTCCATCTTTTGTCGCCGCCTGGGGTTGCCTCTGACGAGGGGCGCGCGGCCTGGGTCGAGCTTCTGGGGGGCTCAGTGGCATCGCTTTCCGAAGTTGTAGCGAGCTTGTCTGTGAAGATGCCCGTGAAATCGATGTGTGCAGGGAGAGCGGGAGACCGCTCTGAGTGCCATGCTCCCAGGGTACTATTGTTTCTCTCGCTCCATGTCCGTAGCCGCCGGCTGAGGGTACTCTCGTGGTGCACTTCTGCGTGCTGCTTCGGCAATCAGCCAACTCTGAACAGCTGTTTTGTCTACCACGTGTCAGCATGTCTTTCTCTCGTGAGGAAATCCAGGCTGATCTCGACGGAATGCCCGGGAGTGCTTTCAACAGCGCTTCGGCAGAGCAACGCGAGGCATGGGTTCAGTTCGTTCTCAGCTTGGAAGCAGAGCCCAAGGCCAGACACGATCTGCGCTGGTATACGGCTGTGGCCCGCATGATGAGCGAAGCCGTGAGCAGCGTCCACCCCAGTGACTTCGCGGACGAAGTCATCCGTGATCTGCTGAAATCGAGCATCAAGGTGAATGATACGCCGTTCACTGGAGAGGGTAATCATTCGGGCTGGCAGGCCGTGAAAGTAACACCAGCAATGCTCGTGTACGCCCTCCGTGTCCACGACAAGTGCTGCAAAGAGACTAAACCTTCCCAGGAGGCTACGGGCAGCACTGCCTCGAGCGCCGCCGAGGGCCTCACCAAGGCCATGAACGAGTTCGTGAAGAGCCAGGGCGAGGCGAAAACGCCTGGCAAGAAGAGTCTCTCCTACGATCGCGCCACGCGCGCTCAGGAAATCGGCCTCGAGTTCTTTCCCAAGGACGCCCTTCCCAATGAAGATCTGTTGATCAAATGGGAAGCTGCCGGCAAGGTGGCTGCCGAGAACGGGCGCCCCTTCGTGGGAAGTACGGATGGAGATGATCTCCAGCTCCTCCACCGTCCCGCCTGGTCTCGGAGCCCTGTCATCGAGGCGATGCCCACAGAGGGCTCTTGGGAGGACCGCCTCAAGGCGAGTTTCGAGGTCCGCAAGGCCAGAGCCGCAGAGGAGAAGACAACGTTCCACGGATTCGCGACCTTCATTGGTCATTTGTATTCGTGGGGCATGAAGCTCTGCTTCACCGAGGTCTGCACGCCCACTGAGCTGCTGGCGTGCATCTTCCTCGTCACCAAGGTGGCCGAGGAATCCGGCGGCGTCAACACGGCATATCAATATGATCTGCTGGTGCGGAAGGAGATGGCTCGTGCCTTTGAGAACGGCGAGAACACCACAGCCAAGTGGTATTTCACGAACTTGGACCGGGACATGGTCCGTGAGGCCAGGGACAAGGCAGGCGATGCCCTCGCCCGCGCCAGCAAGAAGGGAAGTGGCCGTGGCTCCAGCTCTGCTGCGTCCGCGCCCGCAGCCGCCAGACCGCAGAGTCAGAGCGGGAAGGCGTGGCCGAAGGGTGCTGCAGCGGACAAGCGCCTTGTCAGGTCTCCCAGCCGCCAGCGCTCCAGGACCCCGGCTGCTGCCGGCAAGGGCGGTGGCAAGGGCAAGGACGGCAAGGGCGATAACCGCTCCGGCACCTGGTCCGGCAAGAGCTCCGACTGGAGTGGCTGGAAGGATCGCCGCTGAGACGGCGATGGTGGTCCGGATAGTGACTCGGACTGGGGTACCCGTTCAAGCAGTAGGGAGCGCTCCGCTTCTGCAGTTTTGCCTTTTGCCACTTTTAAGGACGCGGTGGACGCATTGTTGTTCGATGCGCCCCGCGTGGGGGCGATGACTCCCTGGACCCATCTCGAGTGGGCCCACTCTTTGCCTCGCGTCTCTGGCTTTGTACCTCTGCCGCCGCTTCTGGCGCACGCAGTGGAGCGCTCCACGGCAATGAGCGCTGCTGAATTGTGTGCGTTTCGGGCAGAGAAGCTGGAATTTT